TATGTAATGCTATACTGTTGACCATGAACCAGTATGTTCTAATGGTTTGAGTGTTGGACTAGAACATCAGGGAACTGTTCTAATGGATTTTAGCTGTGGATTTTTTAATGCTGCTTTTGCTTAATTCTATTTTAATGTTTGCATTTTTGTATATTTTTAATTGTATATTAATATTTTTATGTCAAGCCACTTTGAGTCCCCTTTGGGGAGATAAAGCAGGATATAAATAAATATTGTAACAACAAAAGCAGCAGCAGCAACAACAACAACAACATTAATACCAGGAATGATTCTAGAGTGGATCATTAAACAGTCAATAAACACTTAGAAAGGAATGCCATGCTCACGAAAAAGTCTCTCTCTCTGGGTGCTTCTACATCATCTCAAGATGTGACTGGTACTGGCACAAGAAATGCCAGTTTCAAGCCCCACTGTGGCTGGCTACACAGAGGTGTAAAAACTGGCCACATTGGCATAGGACTGGTGATACAGCCCACCTGTGCTGACACTGGTTTGGCATGCTGGGTGTGACCAGTGCCTCCCTTCCATCCCTGACACACACACACACACCCCTCAAATTCCTAGAAAACTTCCTTACTCTTCCTGGTGGGTGTCCATTTCTTTGTTTTGCCTCACTGATGATGCAACAGAGCTTTGAAGCAGGAAGCCTCCTCCCCTGTCCAAAGCTTGGTTGTAATTTTGCAGTTCCAGCTTTGAAAAGAAAGGGAAAGGACATACATGGCTAAAATATGTATAAACAGAAAACAGACAGCTTTGGAATAGTGTGGAGAGCAGGCACAGGAGGAGAAAGGAAGAGGAGAATTCTGCCCCATTCAGGAACAGAAGCAGAATGGACTCATTGCACCAAGTTAGGTGAGAAGAACATTTTCAGATTAGGAGCTATTGATTGGTTTTACCCGTCAATGGCAAGAGACTGGATAGTCACAGAAAGGAGCAGACGAGCAATAGTATTTGCCGTTTTGTTCAGCAATGCTGTTTGCTTGCCTCATGTGATAAAGTCCATGCTTTCTCTTATATTTTAGGAAATCTGAACTGGCCAAATCTGAATTCACTTTTATAGCCCCATGCAGTAAAAAGAGCAAAATGGTGGGCTTCCTGAGTGGCTGCATTTCTTCTGAAAGCATATGATAGCCAGAAAAGCTTTTGATCTACAGCACTGAGTTTCTTGCTAATGTGGGGAAAGCAGAGCATATTTTTTTTGGTCACAGAGGATCCCAGTATGGGTCAGGGGTAGAGGGGCCAGTTGTACCACAACAAAGTAATTTTCCCAAGCTCTGGGCCTGCCCAGGCCTGCCACAAAGCATCTGAAAAATCCCCAGTCTATTTGAAGATTCAGACTACACTTCCCTCTACTTTTCTTTTTGTCAGAATGTCTCAAGAACTGGCCTTCCCTGTTACACTATCTTCAAACTGTCATTAAAAGGGGAGGGATGGAAATGGAGGGGGGAGAGCATATCAGCATTTGTTTTCTTTTCCATCTGGGATTATGTGACAAAATGATCTCCTGCCTCTAATCAATTATTTTTCTTTCCCTATCTTTTGCATTTTCCTGCAGAACCATTTGCAAGTATAAGCGAGAGATGCTTCAGAGATAATCTGGTGATTATTACAAATTCAACCTCAGACGCTGCAGGCATTAAAAGATGAAAATTGCCTAAAGTCCACTGTTGTACAACAAATCTATACCTCTGGACTCCTGTCCTGAGGTGAAAATGCAAACTGGAGAGATATTTAGAATCATTTTGACAGTTCATAAAATTAAGCAGGGATTAGGGAGCCCTTTTTTTTAAAAAAAAAAAAAAACCTGATTGCCATAGGGCCCACACAATGTTAATCACATCTCTTTGCAACAGGTAATACCACAATGCACCCATTTGGAAGAAAAGAAAGTAATATATCTAAACTTGCCATATACAACAATGATAAAGCTGATTTTACAGGAAAGCTTTTTAAATATCCGAATACTTTATGAAAGATGCCCACACACCATACACACACACACACACACACACACACACACACACACACACACATTGGTGTATAGTGACACATTTGCTACAAAAGGAATGCTGTGACTAGGAATTGGTAAAGCTGACAGATTTCACTTTCTCCCACACTTTTTAAAAATCTTAAATGTTTTTAATGTTTTGATGCTGAAAGTTGTAAATTCTGGTAAATTTTGAACCATCATCTCTGGCCAATGTCAAGTGTCACAGGCCACCAGGGAGATTATTCCAATTTATTTCTGCCACAGATACCTGCTGAATACAGGCCAATGCCCAGATGGTCCAGCCCATCCTCACACTGGCCTGTCCCCTTGTCCCCAAATCCCCACCACACAACCCTTGCTGAACATGGAACATATGGGTGCCTGCTTGTCACCTGTTTTGTCTGCTGATGTCAGAATGGGTAGAGTGATCCCCTCTTTATGATGAATGCATAGGTGCCATACTGTCCTGAGTGGATGTAATCCTGAGAGCCAAGAACTTGCAAGGATCTCCATGGATGGCAGGGATTGACAGTGGAGACATTTTTTTTTGTCGTGTCAGTAGCGACTTGAGAAACTGCAAGTCACCAGAAGTGACTGAGTGGAGGCATGAGGATCAGCCATTAATTTCCCCTGTATTGTTCAATGCAGAGAAAAAACAATGGCATGGTGTCTGTCTGGAAAGAGGATAAGGTTGCAATGGACCCAATCCAGCTATCCAGGGTGACTTCTTGGTGATGGCTTTTGAATGCCCTCGCCAGAGAGATAAGACAAACCCTGTCACTATCCTCCTTCCGCAGGGACCTGAAAACCTGGCGGTTCCAGCAGGCCTTTGAAAATGATTAGCCCCAGGCCCTACCCTAACCATCAGCTAAGACCCTTCTCTGCTCTGCACTTTATCCATTTCCCTGGCCCTATGCTACTTTGTTGCACTAGCCATAGTTGACTAGGTCCATTTAGAAATTCTGGCCATTGGCATTTCAAATCTTGTCTGATGGAATAATACTGGAATAATACTGGAACTGGCTTTTAAATATTTGTGGTTGATTTAACAGTATTATGTTTATATGTTTTAATTGTCATTTTGTATGATTTTGTGTTGGTAACTGAGTGCTTTGCCCTATGTTGGAAACCACCCTGAGTCCCCTCAGGGAGACAGAGCGGTATACGAATAAAGTTTTATTATTTTATTTATTATTATCCAGAGTCCACAAAGACATAGTTCCTCAAAGTTTCCTGATAACAGGTTTTCTCTCAATTTGACCTAAACTGTTTTATGTATGATACATTCAGCATACAAGGTAAACAGAGAGACCAGGCATGGGCAAACGTCAGCCCTCCAGGTGTTTTTGACTTCAATTCCCAGAAATTCCAGCCATCTTACCAGCTGTTAGGAATTGTGGAAGTTGAAGTCCAAAACACATGGAGGGACAAAATTGGCTCATACGTGAGATAAAGTGATAAAATGCAATCTTGCTTAGCCCTATCACCAATTGGAAATCATCCCATTTCTTCATATTCTGTCCTACAAGCAGCCACCTGTCCTGATTACAAGTTATATATCAGGATTATCAAATGTTGTGGAACATGCTTTTCTTTAAGGGTGATCCACCTGTACAGGGCTGTCAGTTGTGGAGTGATTTGGAGATCTCTCATTTATGGAGTCACAATAAATTGAAGTTGACTTGACAGCAGTTGACAACAACAGAAGCCAGTTTTGTATAATGGGGTTGCAGTAAAATTGACTATATAGAGCTATTTCACTTTGGCTCCTTCTACACTGCAATATAAAGTTCAAATTATTTTCTTTGAAGGGAGATCCTGGCGGCACAGTGGGTTAAACCGTTAAGCTGCTGAACTAGCTGACTGAAAGGTCGCAGGTTCGAATCCAGGGAGCGGCATGAGCTCCCGCTGTTAGCCCCAGCTTTTGACAACCTAGCATTTTGAAAACATGCAAATGTGAGTAGATCAATAGGTACTGCTCCGACGGGAAGGTAATGGCACTCCATCCAGTCATGCCGGCCTCATGACCTTGGAGGGTTCTACAGACCATGCTGGCTCTTTGGCTTAGAAATGGAGATGAGCACCAACCCCCAGAGTTGGACACGACTGGACTTAATGTCAGGGGAAAACCTTTACCTTTACTATTTTCTTTGAAATAGATTATATGGCAGTGTAGTTCAAAGCAGATAATATGGATTATCTGTTTTGATAATCTGGATTATATAGCAGTGTAGAAATGGCTCCAGATGAATGACAACCTATTCAACTTTCTGCCCAACTGATTTGTTGTCCATTACTGTTATTTCAAATTGCTGAAAAGATATATTCACTGAAATTATTGTTTTTTCTCAGGGCAATTTTCTATCACCTCCAAATTATCGCCTGCCACCTCCCCAGTGGAAACATCAGATGTTGCTGAAAATCCACCTTGTAGCATTCATCTATTTGCTTTGTATACCTTCATCCTCAATACTGTGAATCTGCAAGTAGATGAGGGGATGTTGAAATACATACCTAATTCCATTCCCACACTTTCAACATATGAACACCTGAGCAAGTCTGGGCCAGAAAAAGAAAAAATGAACAGAAAATGTGTTGCACAAAAAAAAAAGTTGTAAGCCATATAAATCATGATATAGTTAAATCTACAGATTCAGAAAGTAGACTATTCTTCTATTTCCATTAATACAGGGAAATTATAAAGAGCTACTGCTATGAATGTCGGCATGACAAGTTTCATCTGGGAGCTTTTTCCATTTTAATTGTCAATGACAATAATATATCCAGCATCAGTCTTAGGGCTTTAAGGAAATCCATCTGTGCTATGAATAATTATTATTGCTGGGCAATTAGTAAAACATTAATCAAATAGTTCAAAAAGCGCAAATAATATAGGAGAAATGTGAATTTATCTTTCTGGACCATTTCTAAAAGCCTGCTCAATTCACCAATTAACAATTCACTCATGTGGTCATTATCCCAGGCCTTGGGGAGTGTTCCTCTACACTGAAACTACTGTTGGCATGTGATGGAGACAAAACAGCCACAGGATGAAGTCTTCGATTCAGCAGGCTATTCCAGGATCATTGTGGCTGCCGTATGAATATGATGACAGTGGAAATCACTGGTAGGCTTTTTCTATTTCCTCTTCTATTTGAAAATGTGGACTTTGCATTCAAGGCATAGCAATATACTTTAATGAGACTGCTGTCTTTAATTGTTCTGGAACTTGGCATTGCATCAAATCCATGGGGAGGACCATAAAGTTCTAGGGTGCTGCAGAGAAGAATGGATTGAGGCAAATACAGTAGGGAAGGCTCATCACATTTTGAAATAAGTATACAGGGGAAGTCCATCTAAAAGGGGCTTTCTCTGAGATCCTTTTAAACATATCCTGCTTCTGGACAGCATTAATGGAGTATGTTTGAAGGATTGTCTGAGGTCCCTTTTGGTGCAGCTTTTGACCCATAATACTCCGTATATCTTCATGACCTAAGGAAAGGATAGTTGAATTCTCAGATCTCTAGCAACTGGAAACCACCACTTTATTTTCTTATGTTTCCACTTCAATTCCCAGAATTCTCTTGTCAGCATGATTCCCATTCACATTGTCTCAGAGATGCTGGGAACTGCAGTCCAAAAGAGTAACATTTCCAGGTCCTGATTCTCCCTGAAGCCATTTGCCATCATATTATACCCCTCGTGAACACTTGTAACTTTTGGCCCAGTTGAACAAAATTTTCCCTTATCATTTCACATTGTCCCCCTTGCCACTTAACAATCTCATGTTTTAGTTGATTAATTTTCTGATTCAATTGATGGAGTATTGTTGCCCTAATAATTACATCATAGCCTCTATCTATCTATCTATCTATCTATCTATCTATCTATCTATCTATCTATCTATCTATCTATCTGAAAACCGATCCAGGCCACCAGTGTCTTCAGCCGTAGGACTGGCTGGATGAAAGAGAAGCTCTGATACCAACAGGATGCAGTGGGTGCTCAGTGTATAAACCAGATTGATGCACTAGGCTGACACAGGTGGGGTATATCGAAAATAAACTGTCCAATCATTCTGGACATAACAGCTTACTAGCATTAGATGATATACTGTATGGCTCGTAGTGGCAACTCAAAGGCAGTCAATCAAACTACCAGGAGCAGGAGCTGTAGAAATAAGGAAGGGAGTGAGATGAGGCAGAGAACAAAAGCTGCTCTTTGTAGATAGTTACCTCACACTCATCTCTCTCTCTCTCTCTCTCTCTCTCTCCTCACACCCTGCCATTTAATTTATGTTCTTGTCATTATGACTTTTATGAAACTGCCTTACTTCCATCTGGGCAGTAGGTTTATAGAGCAATTAATAGGACAATCAAAAAGGTCTCTGTCGATAATAGCAAGAGTTAGCCATCCCTGAGCTGAGAGGTGACAAAAGAAGATGTTGTTGGTTTTTGTACAGCTGAGAGGTGACAAAAGAGAAGGAATCTTACTTTTCTTAAGAAAGATTCAAAGTCTATGAATAATTAATTGATCCCTTCCAACAGTATATTAACTCTATTAATAATATAATAATTGATGTAGAAAAAGTTAAAGACTAAAAGATATGGAATGGTCCCGGGTAAAATTTTCAAATTAAAGGTAGAAGTTTCCTGGTTACTGACATAACCACATGTAGGCACAATCCATAATCCAATGTCTTCTATGGATACTAATATTTATTTATTTCATTCATAGACATGAATGAAAATTTCTTTTTCTAGTTGAGAAGATTAGAATTTTTAGTCTTGAGAAGAAATAGTTAAGAGGTGATATGATAGCCAATGTTTAAACATTTGAAAAGATGTTATATGAAAGATAGAGGAAACTTGTTTTATGCTATTCCAGAGACTAGGACATGGAGAGGTGGATTCAGACTACAGGGAAAGAGATTTCACCCAAACATTAGGAAGAACTTACTGATGGCAAAAGTTATTTTCCTGGGAATCAGTTGCATTAAGATCACTACTGACCAAAAGGTCATGAGTTCGATGCCAGCCCAGGTCGGAGTGAACTTCCGACCAATTTGTGTAGCTTGTTGTTGACCTTTGCAACCCGAAAGACCATTGCATCTGTCAAGTAGGAAATTTAGGTACTGCTTATGCAGGGAGGCTAATTTGACTAAATTTACTACATCATAAAAATCTTCAGCAAGCATGCAAAGAATGAGGAGGTACTTCATCAGAGTCACAAATGGACAGTGGAGCAACAGCTCCTCTGGTGGCCAGAATCCCCTCATGAAAAAGGTGGGATCTTAAATAACCTCTGTGTGTCTGTCTATATATGTTGTGTGTCTATGGCATTGAATGTTTGCCATGTATATGCACATTGTAATCTGCCCTGGGTCCCCTGAGGAGTGAGAAATGCAGAATGTAAATACTGTAAATAAATAAAAATAAATAATTTGATAGTGGAATATGTTTTCTTGTAGTGTTGAATGGGGATCTGATCCACTGTCCAGACTGATGCAAAGCCTAAGTGTATTCCAGAATTTCCAGTGAATTTCAGAATATCCCCCCAATTTAGCCCAAAGCAGGACAAAGTGGGATTAAGGCAAGAAAGTCTGAGTTACTCATTGAAAATCAGCATATACTGTGGTAACTGCCCGATCTGGATTCAAGTAGAGCCCATTTTTCTTCTTTTAATTCTGTGAAAGGTTATGCTACAAACTTTGTTCTTTTAGTTAGTCTCAGTCTAAAGCATTATAAAATCCACTTGCAAACTAAAGATGTTTGATTTTGGAGAAGTTGCCAAGAAATTTGAAGTTCCAGTGTCATTGGTAAGCAGATGAACCCCAATTCTTTGCCCCTTTTTCATCGAAATGTAAGGAGGCTGTATTCGTTCTAAACTGGAGCTTGAGGTAAATAATGTGTTGGATAAGGGCAAATATATTTAAGTTTAATCCAGACAATATAGAAATGCCCTTTTTCTTCCTTCCTCCATACTTCACAGAAACATCTGTTAGTGAACACTTTGACCGTCTTGGTGGCTGTTCTTAACCTTTGGGACTCCCTCCCTAAAGAAATGAGATTAAGGGCAAATCAAGACAGGGAAAAAGTCTGTACTGACCTGGGTTCTCTCCCCATACCAGCCCGAAAGCCTGCACTTTTGGCACAAGGTGTCCAGATGTGCTCCTAGAACCTTCTTGGAGAACACTCAGATACCCAAACTCCCTCCCTAAAACCCCTTAAAAACCCTTTAAAAAGAAAAGTAACTTATGGAGATGGCATTTTCCTCCCCCCCCCCCTTTTTCCTGGCATGTCAGCAGGAAAATGCCAGCCCGGCAAGTTATTTTACATTTTAAAGGGGGTTTTTTTGTGGGGGGAGTGGGGAAGGGGTTGGTGTCCTCGCAGGTTCCCTGCCTGGAAAACGCAAAATAGCTACCTGGACTGCCCCCTCAGAAGTCAGGGACTTCTGTAGGGGCAGTCCAGACAGCTGCCATAGTGGGGTTGACCTGCACCTTTCAAGAAGAAGTGGTTCAACCCACTATCAAATTAATTTGCTACAAAGCAAGGTTTTCCTGCTTTGTGGTAAATGAATTTGTTTTTGCATGGGACATTGTTTGGATACCTCACTTGAAAATGCGGGAGCTCCTGCATTTAAAGGGCTGTCTGGATGTGCCCTTGGTTTCTCCTTTTTATCCTTCCATAGGTAAATCAAACTTTAGCAGGAAAAGAATTTTCATTGTGTTTATACTGCTTTGTTTTCTGCCTTTTTAAGGGATATAACTCAAATTATTCTTGATTCTCTAAGTAGTTTGCTTATATTTTAGTTATAATATTGTGTATAATTTAGTAAATGGTGTTCTTACATGTATCTATTTCAATTTCTGCAAAAACTTGAATTTCAGTTTTTGGAAAAGATGAACTATAAATATGATAGCAAAAAATTAAGATAACAAGAACAATGCTGAAAAAGACAACCCACAAAAACTACTATCCAAACAAAATTTCATAAGAATTATTATGCCTTCTCAATCCCTACCATACCCTCATCCTTCTCTCTCTAACTTACAGAATAACCATGGCCAGAGTTTATAGATGATACTGTTTTGACCCATAGTTCCCAGAATTCCCTAGTACGCATAGACACTGACTGGGAAATTCCCAAAACTGCAGTTTTAAAAAGAGAGCAATTTTCAGAGTTCCAACCCTGAATCAGTTAGAGACTCTAATCTTAACTTACCTTGCAGGTTGCGTGAAGAGGAACAAGAGGAACATGTGCCCTTGGAAGGGAATACAAGGTATAAATGTTGTCATGAATCAATCAATCCCTTTCTGATGCTCTGCCAAAGCTATGCAGTTCATTTTACCCATCTTCACAGGTTTGAGGAACATGGCAAGCCCTTAATAAAATATACCTGTCAAAATGAGTTGTTTTTTCCCCAATTTGTACAATGACTGGCTGAAGTTCTGTTGGTGTCTTGCATATGCTTTACTTCTATGAAAGCAGTGAGACATTTTGGTAGAATGCAGAACATCGCAATTCACTTCAAGATTGAGAAAATGGACTTGCAGAAGTGATGCCTCTGAGCAGGCCAATGTGCATGTGCAGATGCATATTTCATTTTTGCATTTAAGTGCACATCCTGAGTGTGCATTTGGTAGCACACTGTTGCCATTAAACTATGGTGGGATGTCACAAAAGGTAGACCAGTAGTACTACACAGAAAAAAGAAAAGATCTTCCGTTTTATGAGCTGAAGGGCAAATTACCAATATGGCTATTCATAAATAAAAGCCCTCTTCAATGATTCAGTCAGGAAACATTTTCCTCTTTTATCTTTCCACCCTCATCGCCTTCCACAGGCCTTCATTTTTCCATGTTTCACATGCCCTTTCAGTGTGCTGTTTTTTCTTGCCCAGTTCCATGGTGTGTGCTTTCCCCACTGTTCCCAATTTCCCATGCTCTACTGGCTTGGATTTGAGTGGCAGCTCAGAATCTGTAAGCAGGTGTTGTGGAAGTGAAGCGTGCGATTCAGCCAGTACATTAGGTAAAGTAACATTCCCTTGGGAATGCTAATGCTTACAACTGCATCAGCCCCAACTGTTCCTCGGAGAAGAGCAAAGGGACGGTCCTGACCCACTCTGACCAGATGTTTTGGAAGCCTGCCCATTCTTAGCAGACATAATTGCTGTTAATTTATCAAAAGTGTAATAAGTATCAAGGAAGCAGATTGCTTTGGAAGTAAGCAAGCACTTAAAGAGGAAAGGTTGCTAGTACATAACATAGACTTCTTGATATGTGTCTAGGAGTACTTTGCTACCTTAGTTAACATAGCTAACATGCAAGAGGAAATCTGTTTAAGAAAGAAAAAGTCTGGAGCAATATTTTTTTTTTTGCTCACTGCTAATTATTTCTTGGCCAGACTGTTTTGTTATAGGCATATTGGTTGAATCAGTACCTGCAGTGTCACTTACTCGTATCCAAAAATATACTCTCTCTAGGCATTTTCTAGGTTCTTCAGCATGATTCTATGATATACTTCTATTGGAGCTTAACCATGAAATTGCAATGGAGGACTTTGAAATGCAATAGAGTGTTATCTCTAGGCATTTTCTAAGTGCTCTAGTGCAATGCTCTTGCATACACCTATGAGATGTTGACTATCAAATTGTTCTAGAGGACTTAAAAGTGCTAGAAGTAATCTCTGTACATTTTTAGGCCCTTCAACATGATTTTATGGTATGTTTCCATACTGGTGGTTAATTTCAATAGGTTTTGCTATTGTCCACATTTTTGAATTTCCATACTAAGTCCAAGAATGTATTCCTGATGGATATAGTGTTCATACTGTATATTGCTGAATTATGAACACAAGAAAGAAGACAAATTCCAAAATAAAAAGCCAAGTTACTTTGCGACATGTGGTGGGAATCTAAGGAATTAATTACAAACACACTTGATTTCAAAATGTAGTAATTCATATCTGATTATTACAGCTGTAAAAATACTTATAATGTTTCTTGTCCTTGGTGAAAAGGTGTATATCAATGTATGAAAGCCTTTTCTTGAAAAAAAAATGATAAACTACTAAGATTTTGAGACTTTGGGCAAGAAAGAAACCATTTCTGCAAAAGTATGTTTTTTAATAGAAAACCTTTGTTTTTGTGCAAAATCATAACCATTTTGTGCAAAAATGTTGACTAACACCTCCACCCCTAGAACTGTTTTTCCCAAGAAATGATGTTTTGGGAAAAAAAATCTCCTGGCTGCATGAATTATTGAAAAGTACATTAAAAACTCTTGTAATTCCACCCAGTGGGGGAAACACATTTGGAAGTATTCATTCTTGCTTGTAAGTATAAATATACAAAATTGGGGGAAATGAACTTAATTCTTAATCATTTTGAAACATGTGTAAACATGTGTGTTTAGTTACCCTGCACTGGAAAAACGGTAAGATCCCTTTATCTGTGAGTTATATGTTCCTGGCAATTACCTTAAACATGACCGCAATTACTTTAAACATGCAAATATGACCAAACACCATTCAATTGGCTTGTGCCTAACATAAAGTTGCATTGGAGGACTTAGGCCCCATCTACGCAAACACTATAATATGGCTTCAAGATAACTTGAATCACCGTGGCCACAAAATGCACACAGCTAATCTGCTTTGCAGCATGAGTTTAAGGGCATACGGTGCATTAAAAGAAGTTCCAAGAAAGTATGAGTTCAGTCAAATAAAATGTTGCAGCAGATCTCAGTGTATCCCATATCCAGGGTAAAATCGGTACCACAAAATCTGGAGCATATTTTAAATACCTGCTCCTGCTGAAGCGTATTATAGATACCAGAATGAGGGCTGTCAAAATGTGTCTCAAGGGCATGGCTGGGCAGCAGGGGGTAAGTGCCCTCCTGGGAGGAGAAATTGATTACTTCCACTCCTACCTGTCATTTCCCCACCCCACCCCTTTCTAAAATTCCATGTGCCCCCAGAGCGCTGGTGTGTATCTCTGCAGGAAATGGGAGGAAACCAAAGAACAGTTTGAGGCTATGTTCCATGCTTAATGTGATTATCTTCCTAGCCTAATCTTCCCAACAATGAAAGCAGTTCCTCCCAAACCAGTTCCAAGTTGCATTATAATGTCAGTGTAAATGTGCCCTTGGATGTTCCTAGAAATATCCAGTCTATGAATTTAATATATCCTCCAGTTCAACTCTATGATAACTTATGGGGAAAACATACCATTGAATTGCCTGGAGGACCTAGTAAATTTCTAAAGAGGCCATTTTCCCTGGGCAAAACTGTGAGCCTCAGTTCTGAAGTTATGGGGGTCTCACTGTAACCTTTTTAAAAAGTAGGGCAAAGTTCAGCTCAGCACCAAACTAGTCTGAATTTAGCATGGTCCACTTTCACTGGTCACCTCTCAGATCCTTCCCATAGGTCCAATTCCATGCACATAGCAATGAATTGTCAATAACATACTTGACTATACATATATCATTGCTCACTTGGTTTGGATTTCTTTGGAAGGAGGTCACTTAAGGGTTCTTGACATTTTATGATGTTTGAGTTCATTTACAGTTATATATGTTGAGCTTATTTCAAGCATTTATATCCCACTCTTTAGCCAAGAAGGCTCCCAGAGCAGCTTACAAATTGTTGATTTGACAGTTCCCTGCCCTCAGGCTTACAATTTAAATAAGTCATGAAACATAAGGAAAAGTGAATGGCAGTGGGGAGGGGGTTACATTCAGCAGCTGTTGACTGCTCTTGTTTCCTTAGTGGCTGAAGTAGTGGCAGTTGGGATGGAAGACAAGCCTTTCATCAGCTTCTGGGTTCAGTATGATGGAGCCATGCCTGGATGCTCTTCTCTCCCTTGGAGAGCAAAGCTGTGGAAGTTGGGATGGAGAGCAGCCCTTTCATCAGTGATTGCCTCTTCTTCTTTTCCTCCTAGGCCAGTTGGTTTAGAGTTAAGGAGGAGGCAAGAAGCTGTGACACTGCAACAGGAAACTCCTTTCATTTAAGGTGGATAGTTTTTCTTTACTAAAGAAGAGAGAAGATATCACCAAAAGAAAGAGGACAAAGAGGACAGTAATAAGATTTCAAAAAGCCATAAAAATAAAACCACAAAAGAAATTCTGGGGCTAGGCACAGAGGAAACAGTTATACATATAGAAAATAAAGGAAGAAATATCAAATTCTAGGCTCCATCAACAGAAGAATAGTGTCCAGACTGAGTGAAGCATTAGTGTCATTCTATTCTGCTTTGGTCAAGCCTCACCTAAAATACTGTATTCAGTCCAAGATGGAAATTGACAAGGTGGGGCATGTCTGGAGAAGATCTATCAAAATGATCAATGGTGCAGAAACTGTAAAGAACAACTTAGGTTATCCGAGTATGTTTAACTTGGGACAGAGATAACAAAGAGGTGGCATGTTTATCCTTATTATGTTCCCCCAAGTTATTTCTAACTATAAGGTTTTCTTGGCAGGACTTGTTCCGATATGATTTGCCTTTTACCTTCTTTTGACTCGGAAAGAATGTGACTAAGTGGACTTGCATAAGCAAGCAGGGATTCAAACCTTGGTCTCTCTGTATCTTGGTTCAACATTCATAACCACTAGATTGCTGTAAGTTTTCGGGCTGTATGGCCATGTTCCAGAAGCATTCTCTCTTGACATTTTGCCTTCATCTATGACAGGCATTCTCAGAGGTTGTGAGCTCTGAGGATAACCACTACACCAAGCCAACTCCTACATGATCTTAAAATATATGAAAAGAATTTACTGTATAGCAGATTGAGCAAACTTGGTTTTTTTGCTGCTCCAGAGGCTAGGTTTCAGATTATGGTGGCTCTCTTATTTTTTAGGTCTTTAAACAGAGATTGGACAGGTTTCTTTTAGGGGTGTTTTAGCAGTGTCCTCCTGCATAGGAAGGACAAGATGGCTCTTGCAGTCCTTTCTAGTTCACAGATTCCATTGTTCTCTTCTATGATTCTATGAAATCCTACTCTTTATTCTTCTAGACTGAAAGGCAAAATAGAAATGATTTTAGAAATAAAAAGATATACATTTGTATTCAGGAATAATGGAATGCAGAATGTAATGTATCAGTAGAACAATAAAAGGACAGTGAAGGGCACCCTCTCATTTTTGTCAGTGCCTTTGGCAATGATGTGAGCAATGAGGCCTATACAGCAGAAGACACTCCCAAAGAAACAGAGATTCTGAGATCTTTTAGTGCTTGAATAACAACCATTGACTTGAATTGAGCCCAGTGAATGCCTAAATGACCATTGTTATTTAGAAGAAATACTTTCCATAATATAAATACTTCATTTCCTTGTTTTTAAATGTCTGTTGCTCACACATGGGCACACTCTTTCACACACACACATGCCCATAGGAACACTCACTATTCAGTCCTGTTTTAAAGGAATCAGGGCAGCTTGCCAATTTTTCTAACTCAAATAGAAGTGTTTGTTCTCATTATCATTTCAAAGCATTGGGATGACTGTCAACTGATGTTCAGTTGAGATCCACAGGGTTCCTGCCAGTAGAACATAGACATGGTTGGCCCAAAACATTTTTTTTCAGAATCAAGCAGCTGCATTACACAATCTAGGAGGTAAACCACTTGGGATGGTATGTGAAATGTTTTAATTTGTGCTATTTTTATTACACTAAAATATCAGGCATGGAGGGCCCATAGTCAGAACTGACATTTCAAACTGACTGGACCACTCTTTTTCTGGTCAAAAGAAAGGGTGAATCATTTCTCCTACTAGAATTGTTTACCTGATCATCTGATTTTTCCTTACCTTATTTCTTTTAAATGTTAGTAAAAACTTTCTCATTTTTCAAAACTTTTCAAATTTTAGTTTAATAGTATTTTATAATCATATATTTTGGTTATATGTATTTGACATATTGCTTTTTGTATTTTTACCCAGATAAGTTGTTTTACAATTATATTGCATAAATTTTTATTTGTATTTCCCCTTCTATGTGTGTTTGTTGTATATGTGTTAGTTAGAATGCATGCCTTTGAGAGGCTGTTGTTATTTATTTATTCATTTGGTCATTTCTGATTCTTTGTGACCTCATGGACCGGCCCACGCCACAGCTCCCTGTCAGCCGTTGCCTCCCCCAGCTCCTTCAAGGTCAAGCCAGTCACTTCAAGGATAACATTCATCTATCTTGCCCTTGGTTGGCCCCTCTTCCTTTTTTCCTTCCATTTTCCCCAGCATCTTTGTCTTCTCCAGGCTATCCTGTCTTCTTATTATGTTGCTAAAGTACTTCAACTTTGCCTCTAATATCCTTCCCTCCAGTGAGCAGTTGGGCATTATTTCCTGGAATATCGACAGGTTTGATCTTCTTGCAGTTCAAGGCATTCTCAGAATTTTCCTTCAACACCACAGTTCAAATGCATCTATCTTTCTTTGCTCAGCCTTCCTTAGTGTCCTGCTCTTGCATCCATAGGGATGGATTGCCATTACCTTCCCCAGGGATTATGTTTAGTTTGACCTCTCTGCCATGACTTTTCCATCTTGACTGTCCCTTCACAATTCCACATCAATTTGGCATCATTCACTCCTGAAAGATTTGTGAAGATTAAATTTGAAAAATATTTTGAATAAGTACATATAAATGGTATCTATATATATTTTCAAAAGACTAATTAAAAAAGCCAAAACTCTGAAAAATAAAAAAAATTGGCATCATTGAGGGGCTCAAGCTTCAGCACCGTGACAAAGTAACAATCCTTTGCTGAAGGCCTTTAAGAGGACTGGCTATTTTTTTGTTCTTTTTCTTAAAAATTACCATGTGCACTGGTGATGCAGTGCAAATAGGAATAAGAACAAAGTTTGCATTCTTTAAGACTTATAAGTGGCTATTTGTCAAATTTTGAAAGGCACTTCTGGCTACTTCTCTTTTTTCACATTGTTTTTTGTGTCCAATTTTTGAACTTTTTTGTTAGCCCATGTGGCCCTTCAGGTACCCAGTTTCAGACATACAAAAGCTCCCCACTTTTGTTGTTTGGTGCAGTTCAAAACATAACAAGGATTGTGACATTTTCTGACAGTTAATTTAGTATTTTTTTTCTCTTTGTGCTTGATTCTGTTCCCATTAGGCCAAGATAATTTCTCCATTTAGACACCAAAGCCAAATCTGGGATTTTGAAGAAAATATTTTGTCTCTAGCTATTGCATTTGCTACATCCAGAGCTTTGCTGTGCATACAAAGCATCCCATATGGCTGAAGGAAGCTGGAGGGGTTGCTACTAACCATATTTGAAAAAGCAGATGTTACTAATCTTCCAAATATTACACAAATGATGTCATCCTTGATTGACAATGGTCGGGGTCCATCAATTCCTTTCAGGGCTGTTCTCTCCCTCACTCGCTCTTGCTCGCTCTCCTATAACACTTCAGTGAAAGCATTTTCCCCCTCTTAAGCCTGTCTCCAGAAGGACAGACCATTATTACTATGGAATGCACTTGCAAAAAATGACATATCCTGAAGGGGGACACAAACATCTGTTCTGTGCAAAGCATCTGAATGGACTACTTCGTGAAAAAAGGGAATATAGAAATATCTATTGTTGTTATGCATCAATGTCCAGTATATGTAGGGTCTGTTTTTTTTTTAATCCCAATTGCTCAGATACCAAATCAGGGAAATTTCTCTCATGGAAATCAAGCTGGTGTCCATGGAATTCTCGGGTAGTCTCCCATCCAGCATTAGCTGCATCTCGACTTGTTTAGCTTTAGCAAGTCAATTGCATTGTATCTCTGCAGAGCAGGGGTGTGAAAAAAAATTCTGTTGATTTCATTTTTATTGCAGGCCTTAGAATCCCACTGCTATTCTCATCCTATTTTAATTTGATATTAGATAGCGTGACATAAATTGTTAGAGTAGGATCATTGAATCAATGTGAGCATATGTGTTGACTTATTATTCACTCCATGATTGATTTGGTCTAGTTTAACTACTGTTATTAGGACTTAGACCCAAGAACATTTTTCTTGCCATTTGGAAATTCATACACGTTTTTGGCAAAAAAAAAAAAATCACACAGTATGCCTTGTACACTCCATGATAGATTTGTTTTACGATCACCATATTTTGGAAATGACATGAAAGCACATAGCAACAACAATGCATTTTATACAGTTTTTTAAAAAATGTAGAGATTATTCTTATTGATTAAACATGTTTAGGAACATTTTCTCAGACAGGGATTTTCCCATCTGTATACATTCTTAGCATAAACATAGGGTTTTGTGGTGTTCTCTTCACCCATGTACAGTGCAAACCCTCTGGAATTTAAAGTATTCCAAGGTGAGGCAAACCTTGCATCATTGCTAATTTTTATTCCAGTCCTACTTCAAACTATATCTTGCTTGACCATATTATATATCAGAATAATTACAAAGACAATAGCTAGCAGAACAGAGTTGGCAATGAGGCTAACAAATAAACATATTAAAACTGGTGAACCCAAAAGATGACAAACTTTTTTTTCTTGGTCACCAAATCTTGCTGCTCTCTCTCTTCTCCTTTATTTCATTCAGTTTTGAACTGGGGCTGGATAGGCCTGGGCGGTTTCGTTCGTTAATTTTGTAATTCGTTAAATATTCGTTATTTTTAGCAATTACAAAACGATTACAAAACACATTTTCAAACCCGGAAGGGTTTTAAAATAACGAAACGGCACCCCCAATACTTTTAACGAGCTTCCGCCCGTTTCGTAAATGGGATGGAGGATGCTGGTGCCCTGGGAGCCAATCCGGCGCTCCCAAGCACCCAAGCAGTGCACCGTGGCTGTTTCTGATTGGCCGGCAAGCCCTTTAAAAGCGGCTCCGCGTGGCCGCACAGCTCATTTGTTGCGGAGGCGAGGGAGAAGAGAAGAGGTCCGGGAGGGCGGCTTGCATTGGGTTGGCTTGGTTGGTTGCTGGCTAAGGTTGGATTGGATTTATTCCTTGCTTATTATTCATTCCTTGCTTGGATTCATTCCTTGCTTGGATTCATTCCTTCCTTCGGTTTTTGTTAATTTGTTAATTTTCAATTTTTAAATATTTTTTAAAAATACCTGTCTTTTATTCTTAAAAAAATACAAAAAATATTCTAAAAAAAGAAAAGACTCTTCTGTTGGTGTGTGCTCTCGTTTGCCCTGTCTCCTGCCTGTGTTAGCTCTACATCAGGGCCAGTTTTTGGTTAATTTTCCATTTCTGAATATTTTCTATAAATACCTGCCTTTTTGCTGTCTCCTGCCTGTGTTTGGTCCACATCAGGGCCAGTTTTTGGTTAATTTTCCATTTCTGAATATTTTTAAAAATACCTGTCTTTTATTCTTAAAAAAATACAAAAAATATTCTAAAAAAAAAGACTCTTCTGTTGGTGTGTGCTCTCGTTTGCCCTGTCTCGTGGCTGTGTTTGGTCCACATCAGGGCCAGTTTTTGGTTAATTTTCCATTTTTGAATATTTTTAAAAATACCTGTCTTTCTTAAAAAAATACAAAAAATATTCTAAAAAAGAAAAGTCTCTTCTGTTGGTGTGTGCTCTCGTTTGCCCTGTCTCGTGGCTGTGTTTGGTCCACATCAGGGCCAGTTTTTGGTTAATTTTCCATTTTTGAATATTTTTTAAAAATACCTGTCTTTTATTCTTAAAAAAATACAAAAAAT